CCAAGAGGGACACCTCTGTAACACTTGAGCCATGGACGTTCATACATGTGCCGAAGAGAAACAGAAATGTTTGGGCTTGGATCAGGTCCTTCATTTAAAGGCATGTGTTAAAGATCTGTAATGGTCCCTAGCTACTTCTAGCAGCTTCCCCAAGTCTCAGTGCCATTTTCTGCCTCCGTGCAACTGGGATTTATTTTGTGTCCATCCCTGTTACTGTCTGCAGCCCCTCTGGCTGTCCCTTCTGTAACTGAGACCCCTGTAGAGGCTATGCTTGCCCGTTTGCCCACGATCACATGTGAGAACTTGAGCCTTTGTGAAGACCCGTGCTCTACTGTAGCACTGCTAATAGCAACAAAGCATGCATGTAGGTTAAAGGCTTCATTTGTCTCTCTTTATGCAAGTTTTTCATACTTTTGCAAAGCATTGAATATTGCTTTGCAGATACGAGGAGCAGCATGGTACCCCCAGGGCAGAGGAATGGGAAAGAGCTGTAATTATTTGCTGCAAGAGTTTGGTCTAGCCAGGGAACAGCCAACTACCTTTAATTGCTGGTAGCAGGCAGGTAGTTGGCTGCTTTCTGGCTAGAGCAAACACTTTGCAATCTGCTTTGAACTTGACTGTGTCTCGCTAACTGAGGGGTGAACAGTGTAAGAAATAGCGGTTAATACAAAAAACTTGGTATTAAGTTTTAAGTTGACTCAACACTCTACTAGTGTTTGTCTTCTCTCCTGAGAATGATGATGCTTGAAGGTGAGATGAAAATAAAGGGGAACGTGTGCATGCTAGAGAATTACCTTCCGCTGTTTTATTCTTGAAGAGCTGCATTTTTAAGTTGCATGGTCCTAAAATTAGCATATGCTAAGGTATGAAGTGAAGTTGCTTGGTCTTTTTCTCTGCATTTGTGCTAGGAGTGACTGCAGTTGCTAAAGGCAGAGAAGAGGGATTTGCTGCCAGTGTGTTCCCTTGCATACTGTTCAAATACATTCAACTCAACTTTCTAATTTCTGGGGCAAATACTTGATATGACTTGCTGAGTTGGCAGTTTTTATGGAGCATTTAGAGACTGGAAGGGTCTTTTCCTTCTCTTCCAGCTCTTTCTTGCTAATCCTTTTTTGTTTATAATTTTCCTCAATAAAGAAGGAAGAAAGTTCTTTGAACTGTTTTCTCATAGAGAATGAGATCATCAGTGAAAAAATAAAAAAAAAGGAACAGCTTGTTCTTTGTTCTTCTGTGAGGTGCCACCAATTTTCCTTTGATTTTAGCATCCTATCAGTGTTACGCACACAAAGTTTTGGAGTGGGTTCAGACACACCAGATTCCCAGATCAAGGAGCCAAACCGTCTCCAGAGCTGCTGTGTGCCTAATGCAGCATTGTGCTGGGGGAGACCTGCCACTTGTAGCTCTATTACTTGGTGAGCTTTGTGAGGGGATCCAGGCTTCTAGAACTTGGAGCAGTACAGGTCCATTACCTTTTGCTGTTCTAGCAACCTATGTGATGGTAAACAAAAAGGGAGATTGTCATCTCTGTGTGTAGTAACGTAAGGACATCAGGCCTGTGTTGTTTGCAGTAAGGCGGCAACAAATCCTGTCCCTTTTGCACAGAGCGTTGGCCCAAGAGGAGCTTTGGTGACTGAGTGTCCAGCCCTTTCCCTATTTCTACTTGCAGACCTCGGGAGGAGAGCTCCTCTTTGCAAAGGGCCTCATTATTGGGTTTTGCAATGCCATAGTGTAATTTCAAATAATACTCCTGTCTCCCATCCATCTCTGTTGCTGCATCTCTGTATTTGCAGAGGGGGGCTAATAGGGTGCAGCTGGTTAATAAAACATGTGTTGCTTGATTCTAAACTGCATTCCCTGTTGCTAAACGTCTCCCATGTAGCAGCTTTGTAGTGGTGGAGTTTGAATGGGATGACAATTTTGCACCCACTCTCAGATGAAATGATTTTAAATGAAAAATCCCAGAGATCCTGAGTGAAAGAAGCCATCCAAGTGCCTTCAGCGCTTTTCATTGCAATAGATGCTTCCTTCAGCTCTTGCTTTAATATCAGCATATGAAGTGTCTGGCTTAATCTCCTGTACATTCTTATGTAAATTCCTTTAAAAAAAAATATCCTTAAACTGGTAGTGTATACCTAGCTTTAGGGGTTGTTGAGCAGCTTTAGCTCCACTGTAGGAGAATTTTAAATTTGGGGTGAAGTAAGTCTGTGGTTTGTAAAGTACTCATTTCTCTAAGAAATTTAGGGTATAAAGTCTATCATGATGGAGAGCTACATGCAAGACTTGAAGCCTCTGCTGGAAAAGTAGATTTCTTCATCAAAATGAAGGCAGAGTAGACCATGTGTAGCAGCCTGTGGTGTGTGGTCCATGTGGTGTCCACCCTTTCCCCCTTTTCTCTGCTCTCTGACAAGACTTTTTCAATAAATGAGTGCTGGTTTAACTCTCTTTTCCTTTCATTCAGGCCACATTTTCTTTTTTCCTTGGGAAATAACACAAGACTTACAACGTGAAATGTTCCTTTTTTGACTTTGTCATAAAAATTAATGAGACTAGAAAAGCTGTTTGTGGACCTGGAAGAGAATCCTAGTGAATAGTATTTCTCTATCCACAAAGCTCTTTCATTTTAATTAGCAAATAAACCAGGAGAGAGCAGTAGGCAGGTATTTCTGTGCAGACTGGGGCTGGTATTCTGTCTACCACATTCAAAAGCAGTGATTTGAGAGTAATCTGATTGGTTGATCACTGTGCTCTATCTTCAAGTTCTCTTGTTCTGAATTTTTTGGGGGTGAGGGAGATAGGGTGATTCATACTTGAGCAAGACAAACCCAAGAGCTGCCAGTTTGCATTATGTCAATGTATGTAAGAAAATATTTAGAAAGAATTTCCATTAAAAGTTCAAAAGCAGGGGTCTCATGCTGACCCTGGCTTTTAGAAGCTCTGGTGGGAAACCTGAATGAAATTTAATTCCACTCAATGTGTTTTCGTTGGCTAACTCCATGTTTTATTATCTCATGCAATGAGATCTTTCTTGGTTTGTCGATTTTCTACCAAGGACAAAAAGTTCATGTATGTAACAGTGCACATATTGAATTAAAGTACGATTAAAGGCATGATGTAATGACCCCCTCTCCTTTTCCTTTCGTCAATATTTGCCTGCAGGGTCAATACATTACAATATTGACTTCAAAGTATTCAATATTTTTTTACCTTCTGAGTGTGTTGGCTTCGAGTGCATGTAATATTAAACCTGTTGGTTGAACTGTTGGTCTAAGACTTACTGTCTAAGTAGTTTCAGGCTTGGATGCCTTAATCCATGTAGAGCAGCTTTCAAGGCATGTGATAATATCACAACACAGCTGTAGGCAGCTTTCTGAGGTGAACCATTTAATCTGCAGACTTTTCTCCCAGCTTCCTAACGAGTGGTGGAATTTGTCCCTTGGCGTGCGATGGGATTATTGCCCTCTCCCCCTGCTGCCATCATATTTACTCTCTGCAGGACCTTCCAGTGACTGTAGGATATGTGGACAAATCTAAACCCCAGCGCTCCCATCTTCCATGTGCGTTTCTGCTGCTTTTACATCTGTGCTCTGTCGAGTGTACAAAGACAGCACAAAAAGCAAGATAATACTTTACGTACTCGAAGTGCTGTGCAAACATGGCTTAATAAAGTTAAGTTAAAATAGTTACGAATTCAAACAGTTGCACAGGGCGGGTTGGTGCTCACTTATCTGAACTCCCAGCTGGGGGCACAGTGGGCTGGGTGGCTCTCCTAATGGGAGCTTGAACCTTCTTACGCTTCCTCTTCGCCTGTCTACATTTCCATTCTCACTCTGCTGAAATCTAGCACTGGTACCCGTCAGAAGGGCACACGGGCAGATGTACTGTGTAATGATGGCAGCTATTAACAATTTATCTTTCAAAAATGTGACACTCTAGAGAAAGGCTTTGATAATATTCTTTGCAAGGTGTTTAAACAAACAGGATTTTTACCAGCATGGTATCTTATTACCTTGTCTTTTTAAAA